TCAGTCTGTGAAGGATGACAGAGGCAAGCAATTTGGAGACGATGGAGATAAGACTGATTCCCCTATGGCTGCTGCAATCCAAACGCGAGCCTCATTTGAAGATAGGTACAATAACGGAGCGGCGCCAATCGGTTCGGACAGCCTCCTGCTCCCACAGTTTCACTAGTAACTCGTGTAAATCATCAAAAATACCAGGTCCTTCGAATTTGAAGTGTGCTGGGGGAAGATCATCTGGTCCCGCAGCTTTGGTAACTTCAACAGTCCGATCTCACGTTCGACTTCTGAACGAGAGGGTGGATCCGAAGAGACAACCCACAGAGCGCAGCGATCAATGGCAGGTGAGGAATCAAACAATTCCGGTCAATTAAATTGCTATTCAAAATGCTCAGCCCAATGCTCTAGACGTTTCGACAAACTGTGAATAGACTGTCCACTCTCGTCACAATTTGTCTCATTAATACCAGGTCTCCTGATGCCTGTTTCCCGTATCAGACGCAATAACTTACGATGGTTACCAAGTGCAGCGGCCATTTCTATCTCCGAAGCACGACGAGACCACCAGGATTCGCGGTCTCTTTTCAGGCTATCACGGAGTTTTGTCCGGAGCTCTTTGCGAGTTTCACTGTGTTCGCTTCCAGCCGCAATATGCCGGCGAGCATCGATAAGTTCCAGAGACCGCGAAGAGACACAATGTCCATGTTGACGATTAGACTAACCACATGAGGATTTGCCTGCTGCTAGTAAGGTCTGATGAATATGAGACCAGTGGACTTCAATTGCCTCCAGTGAGCGCTTATTCAACTCGCATTACAGCGTACTTTGATAGGCATGCAGAACAGCTGGCTTCGCCAGTTGGCTGGTGTCGATGCGGTCACAACGTCGCCGTGGGCGTCCGCCAAAGCGCATCCGCAGGACAGCACATACAAGTTAATGGTCGGTGTTTACACATGTGCTCCAAATCGAGCGACAGTTCTGGACGCAGCCTCTCCAGCGGTAACTGGTCGCAATGTGATCGATTTGCGTCAATAGCTGGTTCGAGGCTGGTGGGCGCCAAGTCATCCTCCATTGGGTGCTGTGTCGGAAATTAGTGTTCGCAAGAAATAAGCGAGTATGCTCACACAAATGAAATAACCGCTCACCGTTATCATTACGGGAGCCTACACCGTGCTGACCGCCCAGATGCATTACATCAGTGGACAACTTTCCAACTTGTGCGTTCAGATCCCCAGCTAGCATTACAGTGTCCGTGCTTCTTCTGTGGCGAAGGAGCTGGGTCAGTTGGCCGTAGAAGTCGCCTTTATCGAATCATCGCCACAGTTTGTGACGATGAATAGACACCTATTGGTCCCGCGCGACCTACTAGTGATGGCCAGCATGAAGTGGGATAGAAGATGAGTAACAAACCGATTAACAAAAGCCCGAGGCCCCAGCTGTGGGGACAGAGCGACATCACTCTGGCCCTGAAGATAAGAATTTACAACGCAGCCGTCTGTTCAATCTTGCGGTACGGTTGTGAAACCTCGCCCATCATATCGATAGACTTAAACAGGATAGCTGCTATCCACTATCGGTGCCTTCGAAGCTTAGTCTACATCTGGTGGGGATACCACGTGAGCAATGAGCGTGCTCGGAGTCTCGTACTTGGTGCAGGCAGAGCAAATGAAACCCTCAGCACGGTAATTTCACGCACCAAACACCAATGGCTGGGCCACGTGTTGCGCATACCAGTACACCGACTTCCGCGACGTACATTATTTGCGCGCCGTGAGATGTGGATGGAAATAAATGTGTGGAGGCTAAGCGATGACTTGGTCAAGAGAAATGAAAGCCAACAATTCGGATTTGGCATCGATTGGTGTCTCCCTACAGCCAGGATGGGGTCCCAAAATGGAGCAACACTCATCGTAGGATGCACTAGTTGACACGTGAGGAACTGAAATCAATGGCGTTTGTGTTGAGTTTCTTTGTACCAACCCACCCCTTTGACCTTCCCCTCCAACCACGAGCACATTCGCCATGAATAAGGTTATAATATTTTGTTTGTATTATGGAATGTTTATGTATTATGTAATGTATGTACGTACGTAATGTTTATTACGTTATGTTTATTAGCTTGCTTATTCATGTTATATTCTTTCAATCAAGCACAATAGCTGAGGTAGTTTTCGTTCTTATCTAACTTGTAATTGACAGGCAGCCCCTTGTCAATAAGTTGAAACGCGCAAGCTTCAACCTTTGGCTAGCTGTGACCAAGCGCGGTAATATACACCATCACATCTAGCAAGTGGTGAGAAACACCTCAGCTATAGTGCCACAATACAATGTACTGCGGTAGACAAGCATGTATAACTATTAGTGAGTCTCTGAAAATAGTGTGCGATTGATCATAAGAAGTTCGCAGTCGGAATCTGTGGTCACAACTCCCAATGCCCTTTGACTCAGACTACTCAGAGAAGAGTTAGAAGTGGGTCGCATCGAACAAAATTCCTATCCCACAATGACTATCACACGCCCACAAGACCCGTCGTCAATACTATTCCTTTGTGTACTCTCGCTCTCTTTCTGTTAACAAGCAAGATGTCTGAGCTGATTTAGCAAGTGAAGATAGTCATGCACTCAACTCGTACTTCAGACTGAAGGTCACATTGTTCTTTGCAACCTCCACACCCTGGCTCAGATTAGTCAACAGTTAATGCCCTCAAGCTCCGTTTTCATGGAAATGACTACCGCTGCATCATCGAAACAAGCATAGTAACAGCAGCGTCTTAACTATTTGGTTCAGAAACTCTCCATAATGACCATGTTCTTCATGTCTTCAGTAATATCTGACGTTGGAATAGCTGTAAGTTTATGCTTCTCTTTTTGATTGGATTCTAACGAGTAACCGATTGTGTACCATTCGACTTCGAAGATTAATAGGAGTTATCAAGATTCAGTTGAAGGTAAAGTTTCTTTATGGTCCTTCGAACTACGCTTACATCGACTGAGCCAGGAAACAGTCAAAGGTTAACTCTATTAACAAGCATACGTCGAATGGCCAGAAACACCGATGGTCAAAGAAGAGATGAAGCCGACCGCTTATCAGAACCATGACGTAGCTTACCTGTTTCGGGGTTGATGAATGCCAGACTAATAACAGTGACCGTTGTGCGCCGATCACAACGTCTACATCAGCAGTTTAGCATTACACGATAAGAACGAAAGGTTATCCAGAATTCAAAGTAGCCGCATTGCCAACGTCTACAGATGTCACATAATGGTGCAAGATTGCTATCCGATTTGGAGCACTCATCTCCCCTGTATGCGCCCATTAAACACCTGCTTTCCCTGCATTGATCAATCAACTAACTTAGTGAGTGCGCGTAAGTACATTCGTAATCCGCAAAGCATGGGTATTAGTCGAGATTTTAACATTGGCCACAGTCGATAAGTGAAGTATACGAAACGAATGTAAATCAGAAACAGCTCGAAATCACTTGCCATTCGATAAAGTGGTGTCTTCTAAACGGATGGAGTTCTGAGCTAAGGCAAACCGAGGCCTATTTAAAGCAACCAGAGCTGTTTCGTCGTAATATACGTTTTAAAATGTCCATCACACTTTGAATTGTCGTCTGATTAGCATAATCAGAACCAATGGAAAGAGTTGGCGGATAGCCGAGCCGCGTGGGATGAAGACTAACACTAGTAGAAATACCAGAATGCTGCAAAAATTTATTCTAAACATGGGATTAAGAAGCGTTCCGGTGGATGCAATAGCAATTGACTGTAACATTGGGCAGAGCACTTTGGACAGCAATTAAGTAAATCAAAAGCATGAAAATTGTGAGCGGGGTAGCCTGATTTGAATCGGGACTTTGACGAAAGAATTCGCCACGATCAAGGCCAACGCGAACTATGGCTTCTGAGCCTGAACAAGGTCCCTGGCCCAGAGAGCATTCCTTCAATGTTGCTAAGGGATGATGCCGAAGCCATAGTTACTGGTCTGTCTGCTCTGAACAATAGCATTTAGTGCGAGCAGAAAACACATCTAAGCTGATGGTTGCAAACCGACATGGCAACCTCAAAAGAGTCAAAGAACAAACTGTATAAATCAGCGCTGTATCGGTTCAACTCTCTTCAACTTACTCCTGTGTATCATGTTGTGGAAGTTAAACAATTGTTGGTAGAAACGAAGAAGCAGGAAATAGGCCGCCTTCCATCACGGAAAGAGATGCACTGGAAGTTGTATACTTCGACAGTCAGTACAAGGTCACCGTAATAAATAATGTGTCGGCTGTACGGCGTAATGGGGCTTCGCTGCGGCACGACCACCACCAGTCTTGCGCGGGTTGAATATACCGCGAGGACGCCCAGCTCTACAGGGATTCGAACAGGGAACCTTATGGTTGTAAACCAGGTACGCAGACCACTCGGCCACCGGACGACTCAATGTCACCTTACATAAAGATATCCTATCATGGCACCTTCCTTGACTCGGCTAATCTTACCTGTTTGCGGTGGTGCATGTCGTTGAAAGAGCGTAGCAGAGAAGTTCATCACTAAAACGTCCATGACATGACTACAGGGGAAGAGCTCCAGTTGGAGCTTGCCACGATAAGTGGAATAGGTGAAACGTCAACCTTGTGAATGAAATGGTCAAGAATGACTCTGGCTTCCTTCCAGTTCCACTTGGGTCTAAGTGTTATCTAACGAGTGAATGGCAAACCAATAAAATGTGGATGACATCGGCATCCTTAGGTCGGATACAGCTGTTAGGTAAGCGCCGTCGGACAGGCTGATGAGAAGCGCTGCGCACTTTGCTGTGTGATTTGTAAGAAAGTAACCAGCTGTGTTTTGCTGTAGACAGATGCAGCATAGCGATGTCACTCGGTATCCAATTAGAGTAGGGAGCGAGTCCGAGCCTCAAAACAATCCAACAAGCAAAACTCAAACAGAGCCAGTACACTGAATGACCGATGGATGCAACAAAATGACCGCAACGAATGGCCAAAAGAGACCGCTTCATGAATGTGCAAAGTATGTATTGTGGTGAATGAGGAGAACATGTACACAACAAGAACAACATCAGAGCCAATGTGACCGATGTGAGTCAGGATTTGCTGCGCGACTTCGGAGGTGGCGATCGGTGAGATGCGACGTCCCGTTCGTCGTTCAGATCACTGTCCACATCTTGCTTGCTTGTCAATTCGTCCTATGAGAGAAAGGGAGCAAGGCATAGAAAGATCAGAAACAGAAAGTAGCGAACAAGCTTGTTTTCATGGCTTCATCATCAGGCTAATACAACCACAATAAAGCAAGTTAGAATAGACACGATGCTTGTTGGGACAGATGGATAGACAGTATGTCAAGCGGGCGTGAGGACAAGGAAATGCAAAACAAACCGTTTCAGAATAAAACTTTAGAAGGCGAACGAAAAATACTTCGTGCCTTCATGGACATAATTCGGTCTAGTCGAGAGAAAGCAGTCAAATCGAAAACAGTTAGGTTGGTGAAACGTAGAAAAAGAGGTGGCGCGTGAGACTGGCTAACGTATCCGATTAGGAAGGTGAACATGTTTTGGTAATTAGTGAGGAAACGTATAGCCCTTTACATGAGACACAGACGATGTTACCTAGCCCTGTGAAGATACGTCTGCAACCAAAATACCCAGCTCGGGAACAATAAGAGCATGTCTTGTAGTTAAACCGATAGGTAAGGCCATATTAACGTGGTAAGAAACATTCGCATGTCGTGATGGAGAACAAAGCGGAAACAAGTCTTTGCTGCCTCGAAGACAAGGCAAGCGATGTTAAAACTATACATTCCACCACCAAATTTACTCTTAAAAGTTAGTCTTCGTAGCTCCGAACTCTCCATTTCAGAAAGAGCACAGCAAGATAAGTGCATTCCAGTAACGAACAAGGTGACCGAAGTCCGGTAGAAAGTGTTAACTGTCAGAGCCGAGATAGCAGGATGAAAGATCTTGGAGAAAAACATGCAAAACCGCTCTAAGATAGAGGACAGATATCACTATCTGGTCACGTCCGTCAAGGAAGGCAAGAAGTTTGGCAACAAAGCCCGTCTTCAAGCAAAAAGCTGATATAATGAAAACGAATCGCTTGAAAAAAAGTCGAGCGGTAATTAGACGGCATACCGAAGTAACATCACCGCTGTGCTGTGCACAAAAATCCCGTTGGTATTTGGTTAACCAATACGTATAGAGCTTGTGCTAGCGTTGCCGAGTACTGTCGAGTGATCGGCAGAACTGGATAGAAGATAGGATATTTCCAGCAATCACAACAGTTAGTTTCTTCGGCTAATGCCTATTCGCAAGACGAGGACAAAGTTCATGGCTGGCTGATGCTTGTGGTGCTGAGACCCTGAGAGTTCGTCGACTCGCTGCTGCTAACGTTGTGCCGTTGAAACATGTCCTGGACACCTCATCTTGGCGATCACTGGATGGGAGTTGTGTTACACCGTTCTTCTAGTGAAGTGCCAAGACACAATTCACTGATTCATGAAGGAAGACCTGCTGCCCTACAGTACATTTGAGCGAAGGCTTTGGCAGAGGAACCGAGGCCATTTCCTGCTCAGTACAAAACCAAAGGGTTGCTTTGTTTGCTGCACAGAGCGGGGTAAGTGAATACATGCCCCTTTTTGCTTCCCATGCACATTCTCTTCCAGTTTCTATTTCAACTAACTCCCGCCTTTCTCCAGTCCAGGTCACCACACGAGTGATTGCTCGGCGCAATCGTAGACTACCACGCGAAACGCTCAACATCGGGTGCTGAAGCGTGCGTACACTGATCGACTATAACATGAGTGAGCGTCCCGAGCGACGCACTGCACTGGTTGCGCGCTAAGGGACTGCTATGGCCGTGCTGAGCGAAACTCGGCTCCCTGACCAAGGCAAGCTGCATGAGGATGGTGTTGGGTGAAAAACTCTACCAAAGCACCACGTGAACATGGGGTTGGATTTGCAGTATACGACCGTGTAAATGGTCAACTAGTGGGAGAGCCGACTGGCATTAGCTCACGGTTGATGACTGTTCGCCCTCGACCTGGAAGAAGTAAATTTGCCAATTTTATTAGCATGTATGGTCCTATCATCTGAGAATATACCAAATTTAATCCTGGTGACATGAGGCATCAGTCTGACGCTTAGCTGTGGTAGGGCTTGAATCGAGGAGCGACTGACTTTTCCCGGATGCATTTCAACGTGCGCATTGGGCGTGGTGTCGCGGTGCAGACAGAAGTAATCGGGCCGCATAGTATTGGCACAACCCATGGGAACGGTGACCAGCTTCCCACACTACGCGCCACTCACAGTCTGACGACCAAGAGAACACAAATTGCACCGGGTGCGAGCGATACGGCTACATGGACGCGCCCACGGAGTGGTCACGCTCAACGTACGCCAGAGTAACGCGTGAAAACGCGCATGACACATGTATTGCGTGGAACTGAGTGTCGCACAGACCATAAATTGGTGCGGACCAAATGTTACATATATTTCGTAAATGTATTGTTCACCTGTCATGAGTCGGCGTAAATACAATATTGGTTCCCTAGGTATGATTGAGAAGAGGATGGAATTGAAGACTGCGATGGTAACCCGCATTGGCGATGTCGATTCTATCACGTTAGTCAGCGACTTGGGGCACCACATCCTTGAACAGGTGATGGCTGCCACCGAGGAAACGATCAGGCGCGCAAACCGTAGGCGGAATGATTAGATTGATGTGTTCAGTTCGAGTACTGACGCATTGGTGCCGGAGAAGAATGCATCATTCGGTGTACATGTGGAAGACCTTCCCAACGCTGAAGTGAGTCAGTTACACAAACTTCGACGAGTGACTTAAGAGCAACGTCTCATGAAGAATGCATGGCGGGAGGAAAAGACGAAGTATGTTAAATGCTGCACCAAACGCGGCCAACGTAAGGAATTCTTCGAGTCTTTCAAGGCGGTGTATGGACTCACCTTGCAGCCGATGAGGAAGCTGGTTATGCTATTTCAGGCGAGCAGTTCCCAAACGTGCCAAGCAGCATTAGACAGATTAGCAATGGTTGTCAACCGCTTCGCGGTTTGCTTTGCACCAACAAAGTGCAAAGCTTTCCCCCCAAGACTTGCACGGAATTTCTCTTGTGCTGACTCTTGGTAGGGATCAGCTAGTCGCCCAGGAATGCAATTAAACGGGCAGTGGTATAAACCCCGGTGGAATGGAAGACGACATCACGCACCGTACAGCAAATGCTCGATGAGTTTTTACGGAGCTCCGCCTCCTATGGTGCAGGCGCGATTTCATTCACTCTCTCTCTGAAGGGTAGAGCGTATAATGCAGCCGTAGGCTCGACCCGGATGTATGGTTGTGAAAACTGGCCCATTAGATCAGCCAACATAGAGGCTAGATACATTCGATCATCGCTGCCTTCGCAGCTCAGCTCCTGTCTGGTGAGCACTGAGCAGTGAGTGTGTTCGGTGCCTTGTCTATGGCACAAGTGAACCGTTCAGCAACGTTATTTCGCGAAACAGGCTACGACGGCTGGGTCACGCGTTGCGCATGCCAGTACAACGACTCCCGTAACGTGCATTGTTTGTGCGCCGGGGTAATAGATGGAAAATGAGGAACGGAGGCTAGGCGATGAGTTAGTCAAGAAGAATGAAGGCCCTTAGTTCGAGTTTCGTCTAGGTTGGAGCCTTTCGGCTCCCTGATTGGTTTGGCTTGATACACTTATTGTTATGGTTAGCAGGCGATCACTGTGCCCTTCATGTTGTGTTTCTTTGTCCTTTCGCCTCCCGCTTAGCCTCCCCCTCCCGACAGAATATCATTTCGACACATAAGATAACTTTTTACGGTAAATAGTCGGCAGTTAGCTTTCCGGAACGATGTCCATCCGTAACTGGTGACTCAGGTGGCGTGCCTCTGTCGTGTCTTTTTTCTTTTCCCCCATATCGCGGCACAATGTCCGAGTTCTTTCCCATCTATAGCTAATGGGTATAATGACGATGATGATGATGATATCAGGCGATGTCTGCACTCATATATACACACACAAGCACCGAACTCTAGGTATAATGCAGATCTGGCGAAAACACTCTGATTGTCTCTTGAACAAATGTTCAGAAAATGATTGACATATGCTGCAGTGACTGTAACAACAAGGAGATGTCTTGTTGGCATGCCGATAGTGCATGAGACACAGAGAGCATTGTTCAACCGTGAAAAGACAAGTTTACCGAAGCAGACGGGATATTCCCAGAAATGATAGAACACATTGGGCCCGCGTTGATAGATGCGCTGCACCACTTGGTGCAATGCATGTGCCAGCAGCTGACTTGAAAGATGCCCTTGTGCTACCACGGTAGAAGAGAAAAGACAGCAAGCAAATTTCCACGATTTATCGTGGCACTAACATGCCGAGTTGTGCGGGGCAGGTGAACGCCCGAATCCTGCTCAACCGCTTCGTCACTCCGGTGACTGAGCTGAACGTGGCGGAATGTGGCTTGTCAATAGCAATAGAAATGTCAAGAACGACACCAGCCATTGTACTCGCTGTTTGCTGACTTCACAAAGGCATTTAACACGGTGAACCGTGAGACATTGGCTGCTATTGGGTAATTTTGGTTATCCGAGTAAGCCTTTAAATTTAATTGCATGTTCGCATAGTGGTATGCGGGTGACGGCGCAGCTAAGTAGACGAACCTCGGATGACTTTGCTGATGAAGATAATGGTATACACGTCTACGGTATCACCTGTGCTACTATACGGCATCGAAACGTGGACGCTGTACGGGAAGGATATCAGACATCTAGAGCGCTTGCATCAATAACGCATGCGTCGGATCCTGCGCACCGGTTGGTGCGACAGAGCTGCAGACACGGAGATGCTCCGCCGCAGTGACATGTATGCAATGGACTGCATAATTCTGCTGCGGCCCTTGCGGTACCTGAGACATATCCGCTGCATGGATTCGATGAGGATACCGAAGCAGCTGCTGTATGGTCAACTTAGTGCAGGGAAGCGGAACGTGAGGAAACCGGAATTACGTTACTGGGACATGATCACGATGTGGTGTTAACTTTGTGCTGGGCGGGCAATAGCGTGAGCTGATGAAGAGGGTGGTTGTACGGGTACAGGAGAAAGCAATGCTGCATGCGGGGGAGATACGCCGTGCACGGAAGCGATAGACGCCGATGGAGTCTACTCCAT